CGGACCGCGAGATCGTGACCTGGCTGAAGTCGGACGCTTAACCGACTGCGCCACCCAGGCGCCCCTGTGTGTTACTTTTAAATGCATATCCCTTCCCTAAATTTTTTTCTTTACTAAGACTGGTGGTATAGACTTTTATTGGAAACAACTGGAGTTTTAAGTTTACTTTTGAAACTAAAGACTAATAAAATATTAGGTGACGTTGAATTATTTAATTTGAAAGACTGAAAAAATAGGCAATCAGCTGGAGCTTAATCAACAGCAACCTAATAAACATTACAAATACTTATTTTTCTTGCCACAGAAAGATTTTCATGTGTCATGCTAGTTATTCTTTATTCTGTTAGGTTTGGTTTGGTAAGGGGGGAAGAGGAAACTGAATCTAATAGTGATCTTTATATACCTCACATACAGATGGTTGGTTATAACTTTATGTTTGGAAGGAGTTAAAAAATCTTTCAAATGGTTAGTATTAAAAATGTAAACATATTATAGGTAATGTCAAAAAAGCTTAACTGGAGAGCCTAAGTAATAACTGTTACAGTCTATATCCAACTGAGAAGAAATTGTGTAGATTTTTCAACTGACATTCAAATTTTGGGGGCCTTGTAGAGTAGAACTTAATGAAATTTCAGTACTTTCTGTTGAGTGACTTCCCTAAATTTTAGGTTGACCACAGTATATTATTCTTCCAAAATGTAGTATCTTTTGAATTCAAATACTGTAAAACAGTGACTTCTCATCTACCAAGGATGTGATGGTGGTAAAAGATAAAATGTACCAGAGCGCCACTCCAGAGCCCAACCCCCATCCCCTAATCATTGCTGTCATGGACAGCTTTGGCAAGAGTCTCATATTCTGTAAGTGTGTAGGATGGGAAAAAAGCTTAAGAATGAATCACTTTTGTATAAGACAATAGGTGTCTTCTAGGAAAAAAACCCTTAAGCTATATGATGTATGGAAACAGACTGTAGATAACTTCTTAAAGAGATGCTTACACAGTCAGAAGAGAAGGCAATTTAAAGCATCAATGTTTTTGATGCTCCCCTCTGTGGGTTGGAAGAGAAGTAGAGAAGCTGAGACTTGCATGCCTCTTGAAATCAACTGTAGCATATAGCAAAGGTGTTTCCTTATTATATTTGGATTCTACAGATAGACTTTCTTTGAATTTTTACAAATATTCTATTTTTAGGGACGCCTGGGTGGCTCAGTCCGTTAAGCGTCCGACTTTGGCTTAGGTCATGATCTCAGGGTACATGAGTTTGAGCCCGGCGTCGGGCTCTATGCTGACAGCCCAGAGCCCTGACTCTGCTTCGGATTCCATGTTCCCTGTCTCCTTGCACCTCCCCCATTCACACACACTCTCTCTCTTTCTCTCTCTCTCTCTCAAAAATGAATAAACATTAAAAAAATCACAAATATTCTATTTGATCATTTAAAAAGCCACATTTAAAAAAATAGTTAAAATATACTTTCAAACCTAAAATCTTAGACCACTTTTTTTTTTTTTTCAACGTTTATTTATTTTTGGGACAGAGAGAGACAGAGCATGAACGGGGGAGGAGCAGAGAGAGAGGGAGACACAGAATCGGAAACAGGCTCCAGGCTCTGAGCCATCAGCCCAGAGCCTGATGCGGGGCTCGAACTCACGGACCGCGAGATCGTGACCTGGCTGAAGTCGGACGCTTAACCGACTGCGCCACCCAGGCGCCCTAAGACCACTTTTTTAAAGTTATTTTTTAGAAAGAAATCTATACTTAAAAAATAAAATGGATACCTAGCAAATGCTCATTTCTCTTTTATATAATTTAGTTACTAGAGCTACATTAATTTAAAACTCTTATGGAGAGAAGTATCTCTTACTAATCAAGTTTTTTATTAATGTCTAAAATTGAATGCTGTGATGATAACATATACTTTTTATGAAAGCTTTTTTTGTTATTGTTAATAAACTTAGGGTTTTTAGAGCAGTTTTAGATTCATAGCAGAATTGAGTAGAAAATACACAATTCTCAAATACCCCATATGTCCCCACACATCTAATGTTATACTTTTCAGACTTGTTAATGTTAGCTAATAAGTTATATGAGTTTAACGATATTTTAAGAAACCATTCTCTTCACCTCAGGAATGCTCTTATATTACTAGATTTTAGGCTGTAAATGGTCTTTATTTTTATTTTCTGTGAACTAATTCAGAAACAGCCATGCCTTTCTAAAGCTTTTTAATTAAGAAGGCAAATAAATGTTCTAATAAAGTCAGGTCACATTCCGTGGAATGTTTGGACATGGGTAAACTAAGCAATCAGTTAGTCAATCGTTATTATAAAGGAATGTGCTTTGGGGGGTTAGTAACAGTTTTTACGGTTTATTTTCTTCAGTTACCGTGTGCTTTTAGTCTGTTCATTGAAAAACTGTTTTAAAGTAACTTCTCTAAATGATGTGTACTCTCATTTGCACCTGCAACTTTTGTTGGTGTGAGAATTCTCTTATTTTAGAGATTCGTTTTTATCTGAAAATTCAGTGATAAGCAGTGTCTTGGTTTATGGCCATTTTTATCATTTTATGTGGTAACATTTAACTTTTGATAAACTTTATATTGTTTATTGGGAAACTTCCAGTTAGAAAGGGTAGAGTTGGGGTAAAATTTTCTTCTGCCCTCACTAGACCAGATTTGAAATAGGCATTCTTAATTGACATGGAACATAGGAACTTCTTTTACTGCTACCTCATTGGCCTAGATCTGTTTGATTCTTTTTGTTTGTTTGTTTGTTTGTTTTACATAGGTACCTTTCTTTTGTTGGTTTTTTACTTACCAGTTTCTTTTTATTTTTTTTTAAATTTTTAATGTTTATTTATTATTGAGAGACAGAGACAGACCGTGAGCAGGGGAGGGGCAGAGAGAGAGGGAGTCACAGAATCCAAAGCAGGTTCCAGGCTCCGAGCTGTTAGCACAGAGCTCGACACAGGGCTCAAACTTATGAACGGCGAGATCATGACCTGAGCCGAAGTCGGACACTTAACCGACTGAGCCAACCAGGCGCCCCTTTACTTACCAATTTCTTTTATCATACAGTAAAAAGTATAAGGTAATGTTTAGGTCTACAAATTAAGGCCTTGATTTTGACACTACAATATTTTAACATTGGCATCCAAAGTCGTGGATTACAAGAAATACTAGCAATATCTTGCAAAAGTGTAATTTCACACATGAGCCCCAGAGTAACATAACCACAAAATGTTTATTTTTTTTCCCAGTGTGTTGGTGAAAATTGTTTGCATGTAGTAAATGAGAAATAGACATTTTAGAAATGGTTTTTTTGAGACCATTTCCTTTGTGATCTAAAATAATCTTGTTAAGACATTGCGCTTGTTGAGTTGTAGGTACTTACAAAGTACCAAGCTTTTAATTTTATTAATATAATTATAAATTTCTTATATGCAATTGTAATAAGGCATAGCCAGAGGATAGCAAATGTCCTACTTATATGTATGAAATTGCTTTATTTCTAGGGTCTACAGATTGGTACTCGAGAATTGGAAGAGATGGGAGCAAAATTTTGTGTTGGTCTGCTGCGTTTGAAAAGACTGACATCCCCATTGGAATATAATCTGCCTTCCAGCCTGCTTGACTTTGAAAATGACTTGATTGAATCGAACTGCAAAGTAACGAGGTAAGACACACTTGTTTCATTCCATTATGTTGTAGCATAATGTTAGACTTCATTAAATTAATTAAGTAGAGGAAGGGGACAGAGATGTTGATAGCCAAAAGCATTTTTAGAACTAATATAATTAAGTTCACACATCTAAGTTATTTACATGTTTAATTGTTACAAATTGTAATAATATTCTTCATTCTTTTAACATTGATGTTTGGATGAGACTGTAATGAAATATCCTTATATTTTGAGTGCATTTTTAGTGATCTTACTGGTTTACCTTTAACCCAAAAATAAGCAATGTGGAAAACAGTGCTTAGGTAGTGCCTGATTAATTAATTAATTTTATAATTTACATCCAAGTTAGTTAGTATATGGTGCAACAGTGATTTCAGTAGATTGCTTAATGTCCCTTACCCATTTAGC